CTCAAAGGTTACACTTTAAACCACTCAGACACATATCCAATATATTACTTATAAAGATGGGTCCATCACCCCCCCCCCACCCCCTCATTTTATTTGGGGGTAAGGGTATTGAGCTGCTAAGAGGGGTGGCTAAGTTCTCCGAACTACTGGAACCCTAGATTGATAGAGCCCTAATTGAGCAGCGCACTTTGAATAGTTAATTAAAACCGCTTACGCGGTGATTAAGCCTCCGGCGTTTATTTGATTACGAATTATGGGGCTCTGCCCGTTCATTAATGTAGATATATTGCTTCTTTAATATATGAACATGCTAATATTGAGAATACATAAGCTTGTATCATAGCTATAGCACATTCTAAACTCATTATACCTAATACTAATCCTAATGGTAAGAATCCTATTATAAAGAATATTATACCAGTTGACATAAAATCAAATATTAATCCTCCTAATATTACCATTAATAAATGTCCACTTAATATATTAGCACCTAATCTTAAACCTAAACTTATACTACGAGCTATATTAGATATTAATTCAATTAATACTAATACTGGTACTAATGGTAATGATGTACCTTGTGGTACAAATAATCCAAAATATTCTAATCTATAGTTATAAAATCCTAATATTGTTACACCTAATCATATTATTGCACTTAAAGATACTGTAAATACTAAATGTGACATTAATGCAAAATTATATGGTATCATACTAAATAAATTACTTATTAATATAAATACAAATAATACATATATTAATGGGAAATAATATTGACCTGATATACCTATTTGATTTTTTACCATACTTTGTATTGTACTATATAATGCTTCAATACCTATAGATCATCTACTTGGTATTATTCCATTATTATTAGTTGTTAATGTATGTAATCCTAATACTATTGAAAAGATTATTATACTATATATACCAAAATTTGTTAAACTTAATCCTGATATATTTATTAATGATGAATTTATTGTGAAATATGTATTTATTTCAAATTGTTCTAATGGTGAATTTATTATTATATTCATTTTTTTATTTATTTTATATTTTTATTATTAAGATTTTTATTTGATCTATATATGATATATCATATTATTGCGGGCTACGCCCTATAGAGTTATCGACCGTTAGGCGATTATCGACCGCTAGGCGGCTTATATTCCTAATTTAGTTATAAATATACGTGATAAAAATATATTTAATATTCTAGGTAATATAAATTTAGATGATACATATATTAATATTAATAATACTGTATATCCATATATTATTTGATTTAAAAAATAAAATGGTACTAATTGTGGCATTTTTATAATTTATTAGGTTAAATTATCCTATTTTGAATTAATGAGTTAAGAATCATGATCCTTAAACCGACCGCACAGCGGTTTGCTATATTCTTATAATTAATCGTAATATTGGATTAACGTCGCTATATACTATGCGACTATACTCCCACCCCCTCATTTTATTTGGGGTAAGGGGTGCATGAACAGTGTCCGCTAAGTTCTTCTTAGCGCTTTGCTAAGTTCTCCGAACTAAGAAGTGTTGTTTGTACTTAGCTTAGACTTAATCCATTATAATGGGGCTACACTCGCCCTTATTGAATAGTTAATTAAAACCGCATAATACACACCTAAGTACGCTAGGGTGTAACCCAAAAGTACTTTGTACTATAGCGCCTTAGGCTGTATTTGGTCAAATCCTAGGCATAAATCATCGCGTCAGCGACTATTATTATGATTGTAATGCTGGACTATTAAATGTATGTAAAGCTGGTGGTGTTGATGTTATTCATTCAATTGACATAGCTTTATCATTATTATTTTCATTAGCAAATATTAAATTTGATTCTGAGAAATCTGGTTCATATAAATTAGCTACAGCTACTGTATTTTTATTTTCTAATCCATAATATAATTGATTATATATTACATAGAAGAATAATACTAATGATAATAATGAGATTATTGAACCAAAACTTGATACTAAGTTTCATCCATAATATGCATCAGGATAATTAGGTATACGACGTGGCATACCATTTAATCCTAAGAAATGTTGTGGCATAAATGTTACATTAGCACCTATAAATAATGTAAAGAATTGGATTTGTCCTAATCTTTCATTATAATATAATCCTAATACTTTAGGACTTCAGAAATAATATCCTGCAAATAATGAGAATACAGCACCTAAACTTAATACATAATGGAAGTGTGCCACTACATAGTATGTATCATGGAATGCTATATCTAATGAAGCATTAGCTAATGCTACTCCTGTTACTCCTCCTACTGTAAATAAGAATAAGAATCCTATTGCATATAAGAATGGAGTAGTAAATCTTAATGATCCTCCATATAATGTAGCTAATCAAGAGAATATTTTAACACCTGTAGGTATTGCTATTATCATTGTTGCTGATGTGAAATAAGCTCTAGTATCTGTATCTAAACCTACAACATACATATGATGGCTTCATACACAGAAACCTAAGAATCCAATACTTGCCATAGCATATACCATACCTAATTGACCGAATATAGGTTTTTTAGCATATGTACTTATTATATGAGAAACTATTCCAAATCCAGGTATAATTAAGATATATACCTCTGGGTGTCCAAAGAATCAGAAAAGATGTTGATATAATACTGGGTCACCTCCAGCAGCTACTTCAAAGAAACTAGTATTAATATTTCTATCTAATAATAACATTGTTAATCCTGAAGCTAATACTGGTAATGATAATAATAATAATACAGCTGTTATTAATATTGATCAACTAAATAATGTTAATTTAGAATATGTTATACCATTAGTTCTCATATTCATTACTGTAACTATAAAGTTTATAGCACCTAATAATGATGAGATACCTGATATATGTAATGAGAATATTATTAAATCAACTGATGGTCCTGAGTGTGATTGTATACTAGATAGTGGAGGATATACTGTTCAACCTGTACCTGGTCCACTTTCTATTAATGTTGATGATAATGCTAATAATAATGATGGTACTAATAATCAGAATGATATGTTATTTAATCTAGCTAAACTCATATCTGCACAACCTAACATTAAAGGTACTAAATAGTTCCCGAAGAAACCAACACTCATTGGCATAACTAAAAAGAATATCATGAAAATAGCATGAGCTGAGATTACAACATTAAAAACTTGACCATTACCTTCTAATATTTGAGGTGTAGGACCTGCTAATTCTAATCTAATGATTATACTTAAACCTGTACCTACTAAACCTGAAAATATTGCAAAAATCATATATAATATTGCAATATCTTTACAATTAGTAGAGAATAATCATCTATTTATATATTGTCTAAGATTATTACTTATCACATGATAATCTATTTATTATTTGAGATTATTATCTCCGATTATGGATTTTATCCGCACCTTAGTACTTAGTACTAAAGCTTATCTTAGGTTAGGAATTTTATCCTTATAATTCCATATTTTATTATTTTTTTTTCACTTTATAAGGACGGAGTCCCTTTATTTCATTTTCGGTTGTAGTACTTAGAAGTCCTAGAACCCAATTAATTTGAAGAAGAGATAGGGTTTGAACCTACAATATTAGATTTGCAATCCAATTGTTTAACCAATAAACACTCCTCTTAATTATTACTTATAGGGGGCTGCCAAGTTCGAAGAACTGGAAAGCGCTACACCCCCTAGGGGTAGAGAACTTAGTAGATCTTTCATCCTTATAAGTAAGATTATTAAAGTCTTTAACTCAATGGTTAGAGTGTTGACTTGATAAGTCAAAAGTTATTGGTTCGAATCCATTAAGACTTAATTATTACACATTCTATAGGAATTGAACCTATATTAATAATTCCGTAAATTACTATTTTACCATTAAATTAAGAATGCTAATTTGATTGATAGGAATTGAACCTATAACATATAAGACCTAAACTTATTGCGTCTACCAATTTCGCCACAATCAATTATATTAATATAATAAGCTAATTTTAGTATAATTATTTCACTAATAAGGATTAATACGTGCCTAACAGCCGCGAAGCGGCGTGTACTAAAGTGGCTAAACCTAGATAAAATTATTAATTTAAGGATTTTGGAACATTATTCCTAAGTTCTACAGCCGCAAAGCGGCGCGTTCTACGAACTAGATAGCTTATTTTTCATAAAATTATATCTCACAAGTCTTCGGCGCGGAAGGGGCATTGCCCCTTAATGTCCTATACTAAGGAGCTCTTATTTCTATATAGTACCTTAAATTTAAAATTATATTTATTAGACTTTACATTATATTAATCAAGAATGAAAGGACTTGAACCATTAATGTTAGGATTGAAGCCTAAAGTTTTACCAATTAAACTACATTCTTATATTACTTATAAAGATAGAGTAGTACTTAGGAGTACCCTCACCCCCTCATTTTATTTGGGGGTATATGTGGAATAGTTAAATAAAATTTAATGAGCATAATTATGCCTAGGCTGGTTTGATCCAATAAATACAAACAGCACTTCTTAGTTCGGAGAACTTAGCAAAGCGCTACACCCCTAGGGGTAGAGAACTTTGCGGCTAATAGGGCGCTTAATTATTAAATGAATGAGAAAGCATTAAATGTATATAATATACAAGGTATAAATATTACTCATGCAAATAATAAAGGTAAGAATATTAATCAACATAAATTAATTAAATTATCATATGTAAATCTTGGGAATGAAGCTCTAATTCATATAAATGTAAACATTAATAATATAACTTTAATAACTCAAGCTAATCCATATAATGAACCTTCTATAAAATTATATATAAATGAATATTGTGAACATAAACCAATATTATTAAAATTAAATAATATGATATCTTCAAATAAATAATTTAATATATCAAAATTTAAATAACCTCCTAAAAATAATATAGTTGAACTAGCACACATTAACATTAAATTACTATATTCACCTAAGAAAAAGAATACAAATGGACTAGCAGAATATTCTGTAAAGAAACCTGCAACTAATTCACTTTCAGCTTCAACTAAATCAAATGGTGGTCTATTTGTTTCAGCTACAGTACTTATAAAGAATATAATAAATAATGGTAATAATGGTATAACTAATCATATTATACGTTGTGTTTCTATATATATTGTCATATTTAATGTACTAACAAACATTATACATATTATATATATTGTAGTTAATACTAATTCATAACTTATTAATTGACATGTTGATCTTATAGATCCTAAGAATGAATATTTACTATTAGAACTTCAACCTGATAATAATACACCAAATACACCTAAACTACCTATAGCTAATCCAAATAATATACCATTTTCTAAATCACCTAATGTTATAGCTGGTCCTAATGGTATTATAACTCATCCTATTAAAGCTGTTATTAATGTTATAGTTGGACTTAATATTAATATATATTTATTAGCTTCTTTTGGTAATATTATTTCTTTTATTAATAATTTTACTGCATCTGCAAATGCCTGTAATAATCCGTAATATCCTACGGCATTTGGTCCTAATCTTCTTTGAAAATAACCTAATGTTTTTCTTTCACCTACTGTTAAATAAGCAACACTAAATAATACACAAACTAAAAAAATTAATATTTCTATTATATCTAATATCATTTTATTTTTATATTTATTGATTAATTGATTATATACCCATAGAGCATAACTCCCGTTAGTTTGAAGAACTTAAAAGGCTTATCAACCGCTTGAGCCGCTATAGTACAACGTACTTAGGCGTCAAGTAGTACAAACAGCGCAAAGCGCGAGGAGTCCTAGAGTCTTTGTTAGGTTGGTTTTATCCAATAACAGCCGCTGCGCGGCGCTACTAAAGCAGCTATGGGTTTAATCCTTAATCCGGATATTATCCTATTAATAATTTCTTATTATTAATTAAATTACGTTATAATTATTGAGGGCTACGCCCTATTATTAATTATATACGATTATTATTATGGGTGATACCCTTATTGTCATTCGAGCTGCTATAGTACAACGTACTTTTGGGTTACCCCCTAGGGGGTGAGAACTTTTGGGTTCTACCCTAGCAACGACGCTAATCCTTATTTAGTTATAATTATTACACCTATAATAGCTAATAATAATATTAAACCTATTATTAACATTGTTATTGAATATTGTGTATATAATAATTCACCAATAATTTTTAATTCTGAATATGATGATAAATCATTTCAATTAATATTTAATACATTATATATTTCTACTGATTCACCAATTAAATCATTATTATTTAATGATATTATATCATTAATTGATTCTACATTTAATACATAATTACTAATATATATTAAAGTTATTAATATTATTAATATAAATATTATATCTTGTTTATTAGATGTTACTGATAATTCTGATATTTTTAAATTTATTAATGATAATATAAATAAGAATAATATTGCTATAGCACCTACATATACTAATATATATAATAATCCCATAACTCCTAATCCTGTAAAATATAAATATATACTTACATTTATATATAATGATATTAAATATATTATTGATACTATTGCATTACTACTAAATATTACACTTAATGCTGATATAACACTTAAATATTCTAATAATATTATTAAATTATTATTATATTGATTATGTGTATTTATTAATTCTATTATTTGATTTAACATTTTATTTGTTTTATATCTTACCTTTTTTGGTTTATTATTGGGTAGAATTCTAAGCTTTAGTACGCTCCGCAGCGCGGCTGTTTTGGATTCCACCCTAGCGAATATAATTCCCTCTAGTTCGGAGAACTTAGAAGGTTTATCGATTTTATCCCATAACCGCATCAACGGTATGAATAACGCGGGAGGGATCTCCCTAACGCTTAGCCGCTAGCGCGGCGCGATCATTAAGTACTCCCTTTTTAGTTCGAAGAACTTAGCGGAGTACTTATTTAGCTTTGCTTCGTTCTTAATTGGAATTGAACCAATGACTAAGCATTAACAGTGCCATGTTTTACCTCTAAACTATAAGAACATTAAGGATAAATTGATATGATATCCACCACCCACACCCCCTAGGGGGTACAGGGATATTAAGCCGCTTTAGTGTAAATAGCGCTTCGCTAAGAAGAACTTAGCAAGTGGTTCCACCCAAATATTTATTACTTATAGGGTTCCATCTTAGCCGCTTCGCGGCGCGGAATAGTTAATTAGATTTAGTAGCTTTTGTACTTAGCAATAATTAAGCCTCCGTTAAGTTCGAAGAACTGGAAAGCGCTACACCCCCTAGGGGTAGAGAACTTAGCAAAGCGCTAAGGAGAACTTAGCGGACATTGTCCATAATTAATTAAGCATTTAATACACGATTAGCTTTACGATGTACTGATATATTATTTTTAACAATATATAAAGCATTATTATTTATTTCAAATATGAAACCTATAGTTAATAAAACTAAGAATAAAATAATAATAGTTAAACCATAAGAATTAGAATGATATAAAGCTAAACTATATGGTAATAAACTAGTAACTTCTAAATCAAATGGTAAGAATAAAATAGCAATTAATATAAATGATACAGTAAAAGCTATTCTAGTTTGAGTAAAACTAGATAAACCACATTCAAATGGTCCAGTTTTATCAGAATATGAGTTAGTTTCAGAAAATAAAATATTAACTATTAATAATACTAAACTAACAACTGGTATTAATAATATAAATATATATAATGTATTATTAAAATTAAACATATTGAGCTCCGTCTATATAATATGATTCAACTATATGTGTACCATTATTAGCTATATCTAAACCTATTGTTATACCAATAATTATTATAATAATTGTACTTATTAATATTGATAATATTGGTGTTATTTGTGCTACATGGGCTCCGCCCGTTGATGTATTATTAGATGTTAATTTTACTGATTTTCATATATTAATAATAGAATTAACTTCAGATCCATTATTATCAGTTATTATTAAATTTTTAATTATAAATAAATAATAATAAGCTGTTAATGAACTACTTAATAATACTATTATTGATAAGAATAAATATGAACTATTTATACCAGTTAATAATATATAATATTTAGCATAAAATCCAGTTAATGGAGGTATACCAATTAATGATGATAATACAATTATATAACAGAATCCTACATAAGGATTTATAAATAAATAACCATATAAATCTTTAACATATGATAAATTCATTGTTGTTTTTATTCATTTAGTTGAACCATTTTTATTATATAATTTATTTAATATTTTATTATTACTATAATATAAACCATTTACTAATATTAACATAAATCAAACTATATGTGTTAAACTATATTGATATATATTAAATATATATGTTGATAATGTACTATTATTATTACTTAATATTATAAATATAAAATAACCTGAATTAACTAAACCACTATAACCTATTATACGTTTAATTGTAAATTGACCTAATCCACCAAATGCACCAAATATTATTGAGAATAATGATATTATACCTAATAATAAAGGTATACTATTAATAATTGATAATGAACCATCACCATTATTAAAAGTTTGACTAACATAACCTAATAATGCATTAGATGAATTTGATATTATAGTATATAATACAGTTAATATACTAATTTTAGTTATTATACTTATTCATATTGTTATTATAGTTGGTGTATTAGCATATATATTAATTAATCAATTATGGAATGGTCATGTACCTATTTTAAATAATAATCCTATTATTATAAATATATAACCTAATATTATATTATTATAACTTGAACCATATGATAAATAAGCTAATGATCCATTATTATATATATTTGATATATCGTTCATATTTAATAAACCTATTTCACTATATAATAATGTTAATCCAAATAATACTATTATTGAACCTACACTACCTAATAAGAAATATAATAATCCTGATTTAGTACTATTATATGATTTAG